TCTATCTATCTATCTATCTATCTATCTATCTATCTATCTATCTATCTATCTATCTATCTATCTATCCTGTCCATCCCTCCATCCCTCCATCTGTCCGTCCGTCCGTCCGTCCGTCCGTCCGTCCGTCCGTCCGTCCGTCCGTCCGTCTATCTATCTATCTATCTATCTATCTATCTATCTATCTATCTATCTATCTATCTATCTATCTATCTATCTAACAATCAATCAATCAATCAATCATCAATCTATATCTATTTAGTATATATTATATCTGTCTATTTCCCTCAGACTTTGTTAACCAAACAAAACCTTTCCTCCTCCTCCTCCTCCTCCTCCTCCTCCTCCTCCTCCTCCTCCTCCTCCTCCTCATCCTCATCCTCATCCTGATGATGATGATGATGTTCCCTAATTGGGTCATGAACCATCTGCAAGGAAACCAGGAAGCTCAGAGGGCACCAAGGACCTCCGCAGTTCAATCCTGAGCTACATACTCATTCAGATACTCTTCTGGCAACTTCATATTTCTTATGTGATGAAAAACATTACTTTAAATAAAAGACATTGCAACTGTAATTAGTGAGGGTGTCTTCTGATGAGGTCAGGCCCCCAGAGTTTGTGAGGAAGGTGCAACTGGGCTGAAATTGATGTTTCACGTTGCTTCATGTTGCCTTCGGGTGTGTTTTCAAAATCATGCACACCGACTAAGGATTAATTGGGATTAAGGATGGTTTTTTTCTATTCTGCCAGAGGCGCCTTCAAACATACCTGCCCCTGATATCCTTGAAGTTCTTGAAGATGGTGTACAGCTGGCCTGGGAAGCAGTGGAACTCAACAACCCAGTGACTTACACTGTTCTGTGCAAGAAGGATGGTAAGCTGCTTCTCATTTACAGGTAGTCCTCAACTTACAGCCACACCGGAACCCAAACTTTCTGTCGTTACGTGAATTTTGCCCCATTTTACCTTTACTTTTTCTTGGCCTTTCTTTCAACGCTGCGAAGGTTGTAAATGTGGAAAATAGTCATACGTCGTTTTTGCAGTGCCATTGTAACTTCGAACAGCCACTAAATGGTTGTAAGTTGAGGACTACCTGTACTGCCTACATCTTTAAGGGAGGCAAAGAAACGACAGCTAAAATTCACCATCGCTTAGTGATTGGCCCAAAGTCACCCAGCTGGCTTTCTTGTCTAAAGCAGGACTAAAATTCACCATATTCTTCCTACTTTTATTTATTTATTAAATATTAATCTTTTCCCTTCCTTTTGCTTCTTGGCCAAGATGGAGAGTGGAAAACCCTGGCCAGTGACATCCCGGCTTGCTGTTACACAGTTGAACACCTTCCTCGGGGTTTGGTCTACTCCTTTCGCATTGCCTCCGTGAGCCTAGCAGGCGTGGGTCCCTACAGCTATCCAACCCCAAAAGTGAAAATTGGTGAAGAAGATCAAGCAGGTATTCGCTTTCTCAGCAGGAGAGAATTTGTAGCTCTTTAAAACATTATTATTTATTATGCATTTATTTTCACCTTTATACACCGCTCCTCTTAGCGGTCAGATTGACCTGCCTAGGTCAGACTCTAAATTCACCAAAGAGTTTTTATTGCCACACGACCTACCTTTCTCCCCCCCCCCCTTGATCTGGATCAATGTTAGATGTTTCCTCAATCCCAAGGAAAATTGGAATTCTTGGAAGAAATTAATTACAGGCAGTCCTCGACGTATGACCAAAATTGAGCCCAAAGTTTATCTTGCTAAGCGAGACATTTGTTACGTGAGTTTTGACCCGTCTAATTGGTTGTTAAAGGGATCACTTTGATTGTTAAGTGAATCTGCAATGATTAGGCAAATCAACATGGCCATTAAGTGAATCTGCCTTCTCCGTTGACTTTGCTTGCAGAATGTCACAAAAGGGGATCACGTCACCCCTTGGAAACTGCAGTGGTTATAAATATGAGTCGGTTCAAAGCGTCCGAATTTTGACCGCATGACCATGGGGATTTTGCGATGGTCACGAATGTGAAAAATGGTCATAAGTCACTTTGTTCAGTGCTGTTGTAACTTGGAACTTGGAACGGTCACTAAACAAATGGTTGTAAATCAAGGGCTACCTGTATAATTAAATAAATAAATAAATAAAAATAAAAATAAAAATAAAAATAAAAATAAAAATAATAATAATAATAATAATAATAATAATAATAATAATAATAATAATAATAATAATAATAATAATAATAATAATAATAATAATAATAATAATAATAATAAAGTTGGAAGGGACCTTGGAGGTCCTCTAGTCCAACCCCCTGCTCAGGCAGGAAACCCTATATACCATTTCAGACAAATGGCTGTCCAGTCTCTTCTTAAAAACTTCCAGTGTTGGAGCATTCACCGCTTCTGGAGGCAGGTGGTTCCACTGGTTAATTGTTCTCACTGTCAGGGAATTTCTCCTTAGTTCTAGGTTGCTTCTCTCCTTGATCAGTTTCCATCCGTTGCTTCTTGCCCTGCCCTCAGGCGCTTTGGAGAACACCTTGACTCCCTCTTCTTTGGGGCAGCCCCTCAGATACTGGAACACGGCTATCATGTCCCCCCTCGTCCTTCTCTTCATTAATCCAAAGCCACAACGAGCCATGCAAAAGGATTAGGGTTAAGAACAATAATGGTGACAAAACCAGTATTATGGGGAGTGGTGGAGGCTCCAGGCCCTATTCTCTCCTGGAAAACTAAGTTCAGCATCAGAGTGTCAGCGTTATGTTAAGAGCACTTTATCTACTGCGATAACCGTGTTTTAATTTAGAATTTGTCCTTTCTTCCCGCCCTCTTTCAGCATTTCAGGCTCAGGAGGAAGAGAACAGGATGGCAGCCCCACCAACGCACCAGACCTACGCCTTCCAGACCGAGATTAAAAGGTACGGGATATCCAGGTGGTCCTCGAATTATGCCCAGAATTTCTGCTGCTAAATGAGACCTTTGTTAAGGGAGCTGTGTCCCATTTTACGGCCTTTCTTGCCACAGTTGCTCAGTTGAATCCCTGCGGTTGTGAAGTTAGCCACACGGCTGTGAAGTGAATCCGGCTCTCCCTCCCCCCTCCCCATTGACTTTGCTTGTCAGAAGGGCACAAAAGGCGATCATGTGACCCTGGGACACTGCGACTGTCGTAAATATGAGTCAGTTGCCCAGTGTTCGAATGTTGATCACGTGACCATGGGGGATGCTACAACGGTCATAAGTGTGAAAAGAGGTCATGTCACTTTTTCCAGTGCCATTTTAATATTGAACGGTCACTAAACAAACTGTTTTAAGTCAAGGACTACCTGTACACCAACTTCCTTCCTTCCTTCCTTCCTTCCTTCCTTCCTCCCTCCCTCCCTCCCTCCCTCCCTCTCTCTCTCTCTCTCTCTCTCTCTCTCTCTCTTTCTTTTTTTCTTTCTAAAATTTATATGGCAACCCACTCACTCTCAGTGAGTCTTTACAACAAAAATAAATCTTGCTGAAATGTCCTTTTAAGATCCTCAATGCACCCCTTCTTGGATGAGTTGCAGCAATACTTTGATATAAAGGAGACACACACCCCCCTCCCCTCTTTTCAAGGTCTGGCCTTTGGTCGATTGATCTGGCTGGCTAGCAATGTTCCCAAAGAATAAAGTGAGAATGAGGTGCTACGAATTCATAACGGGCTTATTTGGATCATTCTCTTTGTTTGCAAATGAAATAAAGGACCGCACCATTTTTTTTTAAAAAAAAGGGGAATTGTAAATGGATCCTATCAGCAGTGTTTTCTTGAAGTCAGGGGTAAATAGATGATAGGTAGACGGATGGAGAGAGAGAGAGAGAGATGGTATACAGACAGACAGAAGATTGAGAGAGTTGAAAGAAAGATAGAAATACAGGAGAGAGAGAGAGAGAGAGAGAGAGAGAGAGAGAGAGAGAGAGAGAGAGAGAGAGAGAAAGATAGAAAGATAGAAATTCAGCAACCAAAAGTAGTGTGGGAAAAAGCTGAAACTTTATAAAGGTTTTCCAGGGAGTGCTCATTGTGGTTGAAAATATTTTAGCAACAGCTGAGTATCTGGGCTGGGCTAGAAGTGAACACCCAGAATTAATTTTTGAAAATTCTGCACAACAAATGAGTCACCGTTTATGCAATGGGTGAGGGAAAATCCTTAAGGAAAGAATCAGATCAGTCCTGAAGCTTCACCTATTGAAAGTCAGTCCTCAACTTACAATCATTCATTTAGTGACTGTTTCAAGTTACAATAGCACTGAAAAAAGTGAACCTATGACCGTTTTTCACACTTACAACTGTTGCAGCATCCCCGAAATTCAGACCCTTGCTTACTCACTCATATTTACGACGGTTGCAGTGTCCTGGGATCATGTGATCCCCTTTTGCGACCTCCTGACAAGCAATGGGGATGCCAGATTCATTAACGACCATGCAACTGCAGTCATTCACTTAACAACTTTGGCAAGAAAATTGGTAAAATGGAGCAAAACTCACTTAACAACTGTCTGGCTGAGCAACAGAAAGTCTGGGCTTAATGGTGGTCATAAGCCGAGGACTTCAAGTCCCCGACAAGCAACATTCTTTGGCTGACAGCAACTGCAGCGTGGCCAGCTTGCCGGATCCAATTCAACAAGTAGAGATTTTTGGAAAATGGCTGCTCAGCAGAAAGTCTATGGAGGTTCTCAATCACACAGGTCATGGTTGTCCCAAAGGTGTTTTTTTTTTTTCAGGAGGCCTCTGGACTTTCTTGTTTTTTTCTTTGAAGATGTTTCGCTTCTCATCCAAGAAGCTTCTTCCGCTCTGTCTGAATAGGGGAGGATGGAAGGATTTATATTCTGTCTGCAAGGAGTATCATTCCTTCCGTTCCCCCACCATCTGGTCAGAGCGGAAGAAGCTTTTTGGATGAGAAGCGAAACGTCTTCAAAGCAGAAACGAGGAAGTCCAATTGCCTTGTGAAAAAAAAAGCACCTTTGGGCTGTCGCACAGGTCAGGGCTTTTCAACCAGTGGTAGGGGTACCACCTGTGGTACATTGGCACCTGGCAGGTGGTACACGACCATCCTAGAAAAGTGGTAGTGGGGGAGGGGAATGAGCTGAACTGGTGGCAGCACCGCACAAGCCTGAGTGAGAGATGGCTGGAGCTGCAGGGCTGTCAGGGCTCAGTGGAAGCGCCAGGATCAGCACCAGGCTCCAGCTGGAGCTCAGCACTCATCCTGACACTTCCGCTGAGCCCAGAAGAAGCGCCGATCAGCTGGAATGTTGCAGCATCTCCAGGGTCTTGTGATTTACATTCAGATGCTTGGCAACTGATTCATATTTATGACGGTCACAGTGTCCCAGGGTCATGTGAAGTGACCAAAACCTGCTGCAACCACCCAGCAGACGGGGGGGAATAAAAACCACACACACACCCCTGCTGCCAATCCTCAACAGAAATGCTCACAACAATGAAAACCTCGGACAGGAGGAAGAGCGCGGCCGGGCGGGCGGGCAGGCGTCTTGCTCGGCTGTGCCTTGGGGGGGCACTTTTTTCAGTGCCATTGTAACTTCGAATAGTCACTAAGCAAACTTTTGTAAGTCGAGGACTACCTGTACTTTATCACTTTTTCCCCTTTTTTTTTTTGGGTCATCAAGTTTTTGACCCCTTGCTAGGCGACTGGTGGTACTCGGATGTTGCCATATCCTAAAAGTGGCACAATGGGTGAAAAGGCTGAAAAGCCCTGGCACAGGTAACTTGGCTCCAAGCCATGTAAAGCTTTAAAGGGACAGCCAGTGCAATTCAACTGCACCAGGGAAGAAGACATCAGTAGCCAGTTTAGCTGACGCATTACAGATAGTCCTCAACCTGCAACCACAACGGAGCCCAAAATCTCTGTCCCTAAGCGAGACAGTTGTTAAATGAATTTTGCTCTATCTTAACAGCCTTCCCTGCCAGAGTTGTTAAGCGAATAATTGCATTTGTTAAATTAGTCACACGGGTCTTAAGTGAATCTGGGCTTCCCCATTGACTTAGCTTGGCAGAAGGTCGCAAAAGGGGATCACGTGACCTGGGGACATTGCGACCGTCATAAATACGAGCCAGTTGCCAATTTTAATCACGTGACCCTGGGGACGCTGCAAGGGTCATAAGTGTGAAAAACAGTCATAAGTCACTTTTTTCAGTGCCGTTGTAACTTTGAACGGTCACTAAATGAATGGTTTTAAGTCGAGGACAATCTGTCGGAGGGGTTAGATTTAGCACGTTTTTCTCCATGTGCAGTACTGATCCCAATTTAACACCAGGAAATGATCCCATTCAATCACAATTTTTTTTAGGATTTTAGAAATGGAAGACCTCATAGAATCGTAGGGTTGGAAGGGACATTGTGGGTCATCTAGTCCAACCCTCTTGCCTGAGCAGGAGATCTTATTCCATCCCAGTCAAAAGTTTGCCAAGTTTATTTTCGAAAATAAACCCATGATGTTGGTTGTCTTTTTTTCCCCCCTTTGGATCAGAGGCCGCTTCAGCATCATCAAGCAATGCCGAGAAAAATTCAGCGGAAATCCACTGGCTGCCAAAATCATCCCGTATCAGCCGGAAGAGAAAGACGCCATCCTACAGGAATACCAGATCCTAAGGAAGCTGCACCACGCCAACATAGGGCAACTGCAGGGCGCCTATGTGAGTCCACGTCACCTTGTGCTGATTGTCGAACTCTGCGTGGGGCCCGAGCTGCTTCATGCCTTAGCTGGAAGGTAAGTAGGGATATTTCCTCTATTTGGCCAACTACAGGCGGTCCTCAATTTACAACCATTCTTTTAACAACCTTTCAAAGTTATGATGGTGCTTAAAAAAAAAGGGACTTAGGACTTAGTTCCTTGCACTTATGACCATTGTAACATTCCTGATCAAAATTAGCATGCTCGGCAACCCGGCGTGTCTTTACAGCAACTGCAGCTTTCTGGGGCCACATAACTATCACCTGCGACCTTCATGGTTGGCTCGAACCAGCAAAGTTAATGGGGAAGGGGAGCCGGATTCACTTAACGACCATGTGATTCACTTAACAACCGCAGTGATTCACTTATCAACCATGGCTAAAAAGGTAGTAAAATAGGGTGCGACTCCTTTAACAGTTGGCTCGAACCAGCAAGGGTAATGGGGGAAGCTGGATTCACTTAATGACCATGTGATTCACTTAACAACTGCAGTGATTCGCTTAACAACCATGGCTAAAAAACGTAATAAAATAGGGTGCGACTCCTTTAAAGGGTTGTTACAACTGCAATAGGGACCATGATTACTCACTTCGCTTAGCAAAAGAGAAATTCTGGTCTCTATTGTGGTCGTAAGTCAAGGACCAACGGTCCCCTGATGATTCTACACACTACAGCTTTGGATAAGATGGGATGATTTTGCATGCATCCCATCCAGCACTACAGGCAGTCCTCGACATAACGACATTTCATTTAGTGACCATTCGAAATTACAACGGCACTGAAAAAAGTGATTTAGGACCATTTTTCACACTTACAACCGTTGGAGCATCCCCATGGTCACGTGGTCAAAATTCAGACACCTGGCAACTGACTCATATTTATGACGGTCACAGCGCCCCGGGGTCATTTGATCCCCTTTTGCAACCTTCTGATAAGCAAAGTCAATGGGGGAAGCCAGATTCACTTAACAACCAGGTGACTAACTTAACAACTGCAGTGATTTACTTAACAACTGTGGCAAGAAAGGTTGTAAAATGGGGCAAAATTCATTTAACAAATGTCTCGCTTAGCAACAGAAATGTTGGGCTCAATTATGGCCATCAGTCGAGGACTGCCTGTCTTTAAGGCTGATTTTCTTGGCCTCCTTCGGCTGAGTCAAACTTTTGGGGCGCCTGTGACCCCCCTTTGTGCTTTTACCGTCTTCTCTTTCCCAGGACTTCCTACTCAGAAGTGCAGGTCAGAGACTACCTGTGGCAGATTCTCAGCGCCGTCGAGTATCTTCACAAACAGGACATCCTGCACCTGGATCTGCGGTCCGAAAACATGGTGATTGTTGAGCCCAACCTGTTGAAGCTTCTGGACTTTGGAAATGCCCACTTCTACTCGCCCGACCAAATCCTAACCGTGGATGGTTGCACCGATTACGTAGAAACCATGGGTGAGTGAACCAGGAAATCTGAGCTGCGGGAATTTGGCACCGCGAATAGAGGGATACAGGAAAAATCAAATATCCTTCCGTTCCACTTGTTCTTGATAAGGGAAAAGGGATACTAAGGAGTAACGTCTCCTGATCTCTAGATCTCCTGCTGTCTGGGATCTCCAGTTGAAGGTGACAAGGTTTTAACTTGAAGCTTTTTGCTTCAGCCTGTCTGCTCAACTATGGAACAATTAGATATACTCTTTTCATATTTATATAAAACACATATACATACACATTTACATAGATAGATAGATAGATAGATAGATAGATAGATAGATAGATAGATAGATAGATAGATAGATAGATAGATAGATAGATAGATAGATAGATAGATAGATAGATAGATAGATAGATAGATAGATGTAGGTAGGTGGGTGGGTGGGTGGGTGGGTGGGTGGATGGATGGATGGATGGATGGATAGCTGATAGATAGCTGATGGATGGATAGACAGACAGACAGACAGACAGACAGACAGACAGACAGACAGACAGACAGACAGACAGATATAAAAGAGAATATTTGTGCAGCAGGGTTGAACTGTGGGGGTCCTTGCTGTCTCTTGCAGATGTTTCATGACCCTGTTGGCAACATCATCAGTGCCAAAGGTGGGGGGGGGAATTCCTCTCTTTTTCTATACTAGTGGTTTGCCCTGACAGTGTTGTTTAATGTGTTCTTGGTGGTTTCCTGATTTGGCTGTTCCTTACCATTTGATTGTTTGTTTGAGAAATAATCAAACAGTAAACAACCCTCTAATCAGTGAACTACCGAGAACAAACAAATATAAATAGAAAACCCCCTCATAGCAGTGATGATGTTACTTTCTTTGGTATTGAAATGTATGTAAGAGAACCACCCAGCTCAAGAGCACCAAGGAACCCACATTTACACACACACACACACACACACACACACAGAGCAGGAGGGAGGAAGGGAGAGAGAGAGACTCTCTTTGAGGTAGATGGGCAATTCAGAAATGTGGGTAATACACAAACAAACAAAACTATGTCCCCATTTTATAGGTCAGATTATTGCAGGGGGGGGTGTTATTAAATTTAATTCTGCAAATGTCCCTGAATCCGATGCATCTGGATATTATGGCGGGACACTTTCCTAACACATATGTGTATTTTTAGCTTCAGAACTGGTATCGGAGAAGGGAGCCGTCCCTCAGACGGATATCTGGGCGATTGGCGTGACGGCTTTCATCATGTAAGTTGACCTCAGCTTCTGTTGACAGAATCACAGAACCTTCAAAGTAGAAGTGGCCCTAGAAGTTTTCTGCTCCAATCTTCTGCAGAGGACAGAAATCCTCATATTATTGGGTGAGATGTATAGTAGAGGTGGGTATAGAGAACCAGTTTGGCTTAGTGGTTAAGGAACCAGGTTAGAAAGCAAGAGACCGTGGGTTCAAGTCACATCTTAGCCATGGAAGCCAGTTGGATGAACCAATCACCAGCCGATGGGGAGTTCTAGTCTTGCCTTAAATGTGAAAGCCAGTTGGTGGCTTTGGGCCAATCACAAGGAAAAAAGGGAGTTCCAGTCCTGCCTTACGCATGAAAGCAGGCTGGGTGACCTTGGGCCAATCACCAGGAGCAGGTGAGTTCTAGTCCCACCTCAAGTATGAAACCAAGTGTGTGACCTTGAGCCAGCCACTTTCTTTCATCCTTAGGAAACCGGCAATGGCAAACTACTTCTGAAAAAAAACCATGCCCAGAAAACTGCAGGGATTAGTCCAGGAGTCCGAAACTACCTGGAAGGCACGCCCACACATATGCATACACACACACACACACACACACACACACATTCATTTTTCAGGTGGGCCCCTTCCACTAGGGTCCCCAATCCAGCAGGACTGCCTGGAGCTGTAAAAGGCACATCTGCTCGAACTGTGTTCTCTAACCTTTCCTAGAACAGAGAACGTGCAAAGCTGTTTATTTACAAACCAGCATCTTTCCTCAAATCTCAGATGTGGGTGGAGAAGATACTGGACTAAGAGGGGGGGGAAAACCATGGTTCTGTCCTCGCCAGCCAAGGGAGCTCCTGAGAGGACCTGGGGCCATTCCCCTTTCTTGTGGGGAAGGTCTTGAAATAGGAATGGGGGACTTGCAGGTTCCAGTTCCCTTTTAACCTGCTTGGGTGACTTGGGATTGATCTCTGCCACTTCTATAATGGGAAAAATAGGATTAGGGAATGCCACACGTGCCATCACAGGTGCCTGAATGAAAAGCAGGCTACCTATTGAGTAATTAGAGCTGATCCACAATGTTATGCAAAAGTGGGCAGAGGCGGAGGAAACCTGGCCTGTAATTAGCCTACCTGTGTTCTCCTTACTAATATGACTTTTGAAATATCTGGAGAAATGCAACTTCATGGGCATGACTTTTAATTAGATATTATCAAAGCCTTTGCAGCGATGGTTTCTGAAAAGGTGGCAGAGGCAGGAACTGGGACTGATTGCTGCCCCATTTTATTTTTGTTTTACCTTATTTTTACTTTATTTATTTTATTTTATTTTACTTTATTTTATTTTATTTCATTTTATTTTATTATTTGTATCCCACCTTTATTATTTTCACAAATAACTCCAGGCGATGAACATATCCAATACACCTCCCTCCTCCTATTTTCCCCCACGATAATCCTGTGAGGTGGGTTGGGCTGAGAGGGACGGATTGGCTTAAAGTCATCCAGCCAGCTTTCATGCCTAAGGCAGGACTAGAACTCACTGTGTCCTGGTGATTGACCCAAAGTAACCCACTGCCTTTTGTACTTAATACAGGACTAGAACTCACTGTCTCCTAGTGATCCACTCAAAGTAACCCGCTGCCTTTTGTACCTAACATAGGACTAGAACTCACTGTCTCCTAGTGATTGGCCCAAAGTCACCCAGCTGGCTTTCATGTCTATGGTGGGACAAGAATTCCCTGCTTCCTGGTGATTGGCCCAAAGTCACCCAGCTGTTTTTCAGGCCTAAAATGAGAATAGACCTTCCCATCTTGTGATGACCCAGGGCACAGCACAGAAGCAATGCAGTCAGCTAGCAATTCAAACAGTTCTTTTATTGCTCCAAATTTCCCCCAAATACTCCCACGTTTGCTGGCAAGCCTCCAACAAAAGAACACACACATACACCCCTTCAGCCGACTCTGGCTGAAAGTAGGTTCAAATACAGTCTGATTAGCATAAGAAAGTACTCAAGGCCATAGAGATAACAAGGAAGAAAACATAAACTTAACGAAAACTGTATAATTTTGTTACAGTTCAGGTGGGGGGGGGGATCATCATGGACTCCATTGGAGATTTTGGGATGATGGGGGCACCTACCTCCTCTCCAAGCCTGGATCTGCTGTCACTCTGCTGTGGTTTTTACTACCATCTTCCCCTGAGAGGGTTCCCCTTTTCCCTACCCTTCAGGATAGCCGGGGAGAGGATTCTGGTTGAATGTCCCATGTCAAATAGGAGGCTGACCAGGGCTGAAAATGAATATGTCAGTGATGAATGCAAGGCCAACCCCAGGAAGAGGCCTCTGGATGTTTTCCTGGGCTGATGACAGAAAAGGGCAGGATTGAAGTGGACTCCTTCAGCTCTGGTTATTTTCTTGCAGACATTTCACAACCCAGCTAGGTAACATCATCAGTGTGAGAAAGGACTGTAGCATTCCCTTCTAGCAATGATGAGGTTACTTAGTTGGGTCATGAAACATCTGCAAGAAAACCACCAAGCTCAGAGTGCATCAAGGGCCCCACTGTTCTCCTTCTCCTCTTCCCCCTTGCCCTTGTCCTCCCCCTCCCCCTCCCCCACCCCCTCCCTTCTAACACTGATGAGGTTACCTAGTTGGGTTTTCTGCAAGAAAACCAACAAGCTCAGAGAGCACCAAAGACCCCAGAGAAAGAAAAACCCAGATAAGCAGGGATTAACACCAAAGAAACAATTAAGCAGAAAACAATATTCTACCAAGGAGGGAAAAAAACCACATCCTACCAAGACTGACAGGAGAAGCAACTCTATAGAAAAAGGGATAAAACTTCCACTCCCTTAAACTGATTATATTACCTAGTTGGGTCATGAAATGTCTGCAAGAAAACCACAAAGCTCAGAATGTACCAAGGACCTCGCAGTCTTCCTCCTCCTTTTCTTCCTCCTCCTCCTCCTCCTCCCTTCTCCTTCTTCTCCTCTACCTCCTCCTCCACTTACCCCCACCTCCTTCCCTTTCTCCCCACAACCTCCCCTCTTTTCTACCATTGATGATGTTACATTGTTGGATCATGAAAGGTCTGCAAGAAAGCAACCAAGCTCAGAGACCAGCCAGGACCCCCACATTTGAACTCTGAGCCACAAATATGGCATTCTGTCAACCAAGTGAATAATTCTTCCTTTCTCTCCTGTTTCCAGGCTGAGCGCTGAATATCCCATCAGCTCCGAGGCTGCCTGTGACTTCGGAAGGCTGGTCAAGCGAGACAAAATCCGACTCAACAAATGTTATGCCGGCCTTTCGGGGGGAGCCATCAACTTTCTCCAAAGCACGCTTTCCTTGAATCCATGGTGAGAAGGTCCCTTTGCTCCTCTTCCATGTTGCAGATATATATATATATCTGCAACATGGGGATATATATATCCCCCCGCGCCAGAGACGCCTAGGGGATGGCAAGACACAACCAGGAGTGAGATCGGTATAATGAGCTCCGTGGCACACCCCGCATCTCTAACGACCCTACGCCAGAGGAAGGGTAGGGAGAGAGAGAGGGCTAGCGATCAGATGTGGGGGGAGGAAGGATTGAATGAGAGAGTTGAAGCCAGTAAGGGAGTGGAGCAGAGGAAATGGGAAGGATGGTGGGGAAGTGGTGGGAGATCGGCTACGATAGTTGAGAGTGGGGGGAATGAACGACAGGAGCACAGGTATGGAGGAGACGGGCCCCCAATGCCCCCAGAGACCCCCCATTGGAAGAAAGGTAGGGAGAGGGAGGTGGGTGGGTATGGAAGAGAGAGCACCCCCGCGACCTTAGTGACCGCCCATCAGAGGACGGGTAGGGAAGGAGAAGAGATTAACATCTGCGGGTGCGCAGATGAGGGGTTGAAT